TGTTTTGTTTGGTTTTGTTTTTAGGGGGACTAGGTTGTGTTGGTTTAGTTTCTTTTTTTTTTTTTTTTAAGCTGTTCCCCCTCCCCGGTCACAGCATTGACTCCAAAGTACCACCCAAGGGCTTTATTAGGATCGTGGTGGGTTGGTTGGTTTGGTTTGTACGTCACGGTTCTTAAAGGATGAGGAAGGAGTGGGTGGTATTATTGTTATTATTAAAGATTAAGGTATGTTGTGTGGCCTTCAACTGTCTTCTGACAGACAGGAAGCAATTACTCATCTGGCTTCAGAGAACTGTTCTAAGTCTCAACTAATTTAAGTGTGCAATGCCAGCTAGCAGAAGATTGATCTCAGTATAGTTTTCTCCTGCTTCACTCCATTCTCTGAATCCCTCTGTTGCCATTTCATGTTTCCTTTCTCCTTTTATCAGCTAGGGGTATTGCTGGGGTGATGGTCACAGAAGCAGCAAAGCCATGGTAGAAGGCGTGGGACATTCACATTTTCTCACGACAGATAGATTTATATTTTTTTAATCCACTTTCAAGTCATATCACCAGGTGAAAGCAGCCCACTCAAGAGTCCTGTTACCCAGTGTTCATTTTGTTTCGTATGTGACAAATAAGATTTTAGTCACATATTTCCAAGTTGTATTTCTTAACCTGCTCTGTAATAGATGAGGTTATAGAAAGCACAGTTGGTGTTGTATCAGATAATGTCTTGATCTTCTTGTAGTGCCAGTCACGAGATTTTTAAAAGGCAAAAAATATACAAAAATAACCAAATCTAGGTTTGACTCAGTACTGTAACACTGAGTTAAAATCCCAATCTCCACCAGGAATAATGCTGTAATGATTGCAGCTTTGCTTAACTAACCTTGGTAATTAGTTACACATTTCCCCCCCCCCCCATTTCTCTGATACTAAATAGCACTGCTTTTTTTCTTTCCAGTTATATTGGTCTGGGGAGAAGTATGTGAGCAGATCTTTGGTGACGTGCTTTCAAATGGCTTTCTATCACTATTAAAACTTTCACGTGAACAGGAAGTTTTTAAAGATTTGATGCACTGTTTTTGTTGTTTTTTTTCTTTTTGTTGTTTTTTTTTCTATATTAAAGCCATACTTGAAATTTCTTTGTATGATTTTATGTCAACAACAGTATAAAAATACTTCCTACCCTTGATTGCTACAATCTTAAGAGGATCTATCAGTGTGAAGTTTCTGTGAGTTGTTGTATATTGTGCTGAAAATGAAACATCTTCATTTCTTGGTAATTTCTAGGCACTCCTGTAAATTTTGTTATTCTGTTTTTCATATTATTTTATCCTCTTTTTGTGCATTGTGTGCTGGAAAGTCTCCATTATTTCCTTTCTTTTAAAGGGTACTTTCAGACTGCTCCACATGTGTTGCTCCATGCAGTGAAGGAGGACTAGAATTGTTATCATCATTGCTCCTGGCTGAAACAAAATTGTCTGCTGGTGGGCACAAGAAAGTACTTTTAAGCATTGACCTCGGAGGGACAGACTTTGGGAAACTGAGATGGCCTTCAAAAAGAGAAATACCATTTTTGTATATGTATGGATATTTATACATATATGTATATATAATGTATTTTTCATATATGTATGTATTTGAAAAAAATCAAAAATACTAGAGTATGTATGCATCTGTGTCTTTAGATTCCCAACTACAGTTTGTTACTGGTCTTTGGCTGACAAAATCTTAGTACAGTGCCAGGCAGTTACAGAACCACAAAGCTGAATAAGACACAGACTTAAGTCTTAGATTTTTATTTTTTTTTTAAGTTTGCCTCAGCAAGTTTGCTGATGAGACCAAGATGTGCGGTTTGTTGATACGCTGGAGGGAAGGAATGCCATTCAGAGGGACCCTGACATGCTTGTGAGGTGGGCTGATGCTGACCTTAAGAAGTTTAACCATGCTGAATGCAAGGTCCTACACCTGGGTCGAAGCAATTGCAGGCACAGCTACAGGCTGGGCAGAGAAGAGATTCAGAGCAGCCCTGCAGAGAAGGACTTGGGGGTGCTGGTTGATGAGAAAATGAACATGAGCTGGCTTCAGTGTGCGCTTGCAGCCCAGAAAGCCAACTGTATCCTGTGCTGCATCAAAAGGAGTGTGACCAGCAGGTTGAAGGAGGTGATCCTGCCCCTTTACTCTGCTCTTGTGAGACCTCAGTTGGAGTACTGTGTGCAGTTCTGGTGTCCTCAACATAAAAAGGACATGGGACTGTTGGAACAAGTCCAGAGGAGGGCTGTGAGGATCATCAGGGGACTGGATGAAGATAGGCTGAGGAAGCTGGGTCTGTTCAGCCTGGAGAAGAGAAGGCTGTGTGGAGAACTCACAGCAGCCTTCCAGTATCTGAAGGTGGTCTGTAATGATGCTGGGGAGGGACTCTTCATTAGGGACTGTAATGATAGGACAGGGGGTAATGGGTTGAAACTTAAACAGGGCAAGTTTAGATTGGATATAAGGAGGAAATTCTTCCCTGTGAGGGTGGTGAGGCACTGGAATGGGTTGCCCAGGGAAGTTGTGAATGCTCCATCCCTGGCAGTGTTCAAGGCCAGGTTGGACGAGGCCTTGGGTGATACGGTTTAGTGAGAGGTGTCCGTGCCCATGGCAGGGGTGTTGGAACTATATGATTTTAAGGTCCTTTCCAACTGTAACTATTCTAAGATTCTGTGATTCTTCTTTGGGTTTTAATTTCATTTTCCTGTATACTGTAGTTTTGTGGACATCACTTTCAAGGTGTATATAATCTGAAATACAGTCTTCTCTAATGTAACACAGTTTACTACCATGTTTTATTCTGCGTGCTTTTCATGTGGCTACCTAAGTTCCCAATAAAGAATTGAAAGAATGAGAAGCTTAATGTTTTAGAGCAGAGTAGATAATACAAGTGTGTTCTTCCTATCTCTGTGCTAAATTTGCATTTGGGGATTTTGAAGGAATCTGGATTTCCTGCAGGGAGAAATGGTAGGACCAAAACAGGAAGTCAGTTTCTATTCTAATGATTCAGAGGTGTCTGGAAATTATTTTCTTAGGATTAGTTAAAGGAGAATCTTCAGTAAAAGCATAATCATGTCTAAAAGCACCTCATAGATCTTTGTAAAGAACCTCTTTAAAGGTTCATGTTGAACAGATTTCTGTGCTAAATGTGTGACTTACCTTTAGAAAAGCTGGACCAGTATTACGGAATTACTGAAAAGTATGTGGTAGGGCACTTCATATGTAAGTACATGCATTACTTTATGTCATATGTTTCAGAAGAAAGAGAAACTGTGGTTGTCTTAAGGGTAGTTTAAGGTATTTTTTACTGTTTAATAGTTCTGTATTGTATAGGTTTGTAATTTGTATGGTGTTAAGTAGTGATTTTCGAGACTGGTAGATTGCAGAATTGTAAAGATCTCCTCTCTGATTCCGATGAGCTGGAATTCAGGCAGGTATCATTGACCCAGCATGTCTCAGGAGCACGTCTTTTTCAGAGACCTGTGCCTGGTTAGTGTGAATCTGTCGGGTTGTGTGGGGCATGTTCTTCCTGGTGGGTAGGCCACCCCCTGCAGAGGTGGCCTGTGTGCTCCTGACTGCAGTACAGGCTGAGGAAGAGCTGTGAAGGCTGAGGGTGGAACCAGGCTTGGTCTCATTTTTCAGCTTCAGAGCAAGTTCTTGTTCATCACACTAATAAGCATTTCCCCCCCCGGAGAAAGTGAAAATGGTCAGTATGTTACAGAGTGCATGATTGTGTGTGTAAGTAATACTTGTGTTACAAGTTTGTTTTGCGCATGCAGGAACTGGAACTGAAGGCTTCAAAATGATGGTCTTGGTAAAGGGAAAAGCTTTTAGAGGCTTCCAGCTTAGATTTCTGCAGTGTGTGCTATTTCGGAAATGCTTAAGGGTTGCTCCTTTAACCTTGCACTGCACTGCACTGCTGTGAAACACACTTCTCTGACAAGATGCCTGAACCAGGGGGCATAAGGCTGCCTTTGTCCTGGGACAAGAGTATCGTGGTGTGAGGCATTAAAGCTTAACAGAAATTATTTGAATAAAACCCAGGCTGAAAGGCTGAAAAGCATAGTGCTGAGCAGTGCACCCTGGTACATGCATTTAGTTTCATGCAGGGCTGAGTAGCTGGGTGAATGCAGGATTTATGTGGCTGTGCAACTGCTTATTCTGAATTTCATCTCCTCCTCTTAAGCAAATACAGGAATTTTATAGATAAGCTCTTCTGGTCAAGGAGGATGAGATCACAGAATAGGACTAAAGAAAAACTGTTTGATGTATCTTGCATTAAGTTTCCAACAGGCAGATCTTAATTTTAAATTGACAAATAGTCAGAAATGTTCAGTAACAAATTACTTTTAGTACAAAGCACAAAGATGCAAAGAATTCAAAGGAAGGAAGGAATGACTCCCATTAATGAATATGAGCTAAGTTTTACTTAGCACTGATATTTCATGTTTCTGAGGTTAAAGTTTGCAGAGCTGTAATTGTTACAATACTTGCTTTAAAAACAAAACAAAAACCTCTCAAAAACAAAGCACACCAAAAACCACAGCACCAAAACACAAGTGTATGTATTGGTTGTATAATCCCTACCGTAATGTCCTGAAAGTTTTTTTTTTCTTTATTCCGCCTGAATTTTATGAGAAAGTGTTCCGTAATAACCACCTGAAATTGGATGTTTTGGACATTTGTCTCCAAGAAGTAAAGATTTTTAAAATACATAGTTGTGTGTATTTTGGAGTGGTGTGGGTTTGTTGGTTTGGTTTTTTTCCTTATTCATTTAGTCGTTAAATAAATGCACAAGTTTTAATTCAGTGGTACTTCAGTTGATACTGATGCTACTATCTGATTCTGAACTGGTCGTAGTAGTTACTTTTAAGCTCCACGTGGCACTGCTCAGCCCTACACTAAACCAGCTGTCAGCATTGTACAGGAAAAGTTATGTTTGTGTCCAGTGGCTAAAGCATATCCTTCTTATTTGTCTTGCAGGGACAGGAGAGAGTGGCAAAAGCACATTTATCAAGCAGATGAGAATCATTCATGGATCAGGTTACTCTGATGAAGACAAAAGAGGCTTTACGAAACTGGTGTACCAGAATATATTTACAGCAATGCAGGCCATGATCAGAGCCATGGATACTCTCAAAATCCCATACAAGCATGAACATAACAAGGTGAGGTGTATGTTTATTTCTGTAGCTGAAGCTTTTTGTATTTTTATTTTGGGAAATACACTGAAGGTCTCAAAAAAATTATGTGTCTCCCAATTATTCTCAAAGGTCCTAAGAAAAAGTCATTTCCCAGTCCTGCCTTTAGTTCTCTGCTCTTCTGGCTACTTTAACAACACAAAGGTGATGCTTTTATCAAGAGAGCTGCTCTTAAGATGCCGGGGGGGGGGGGTTGTCACAGGACAGGTTTAATGGCAAGCTGTTGTTTGACTTGTGACTTTAGTTACCCGTTGTCTGTTTTTCCCAGGTCATGCTCTGGCCAGAGCACAGTTAAGCCCATTCTTCTGATCTGTAGCAGATCATTACGGCTTAAACCGTGGAAAAAACATGTGGAAAAAACTAAAATTATTAGCTGGGGATACCTGTTTTTGTGTGAACATTCTGTGAAACTGTGAAATAAAATTTTCAACACAAGACAAGGGAACAGTCAGATCCTTTTGAGGTTGATGGTGTTGAAGTTTAAAAGGACAAAATACATTTGAAATGTTTGAAAGGTTCATCTCTGACTAGCCTTATTCCCAATTTTTGTTTCTGCTTACATTTTGAAAGAAAGATAAATAAAAATAATTGAAGCATTCCATGAAAGAGAGTGAAATGCTTAATATTTACTTGAGTACATAGTAAGGCACAGAGTTACATGACTGTATCTCCCACTTCTTGTCACAGGAGTGGTATCACAGGTGGTGACACAAGAGTGTCTCAGACTGATAACAGTTCCTGAGAGCTTGTTCTGATTTTTACTTTTGAGCCATTATCAGCAATGTTCTCAGGTGGAGAGTTAAGATCCCTCAAAAGTGGAGGGCTCAACCTTCTTCAATCTTGTGAAAGAGTATTTAATGGTAGTTTAGTAATCCTGGATGAAAATAATAATTTAGTAGTCCTGAATGAAAATAATACTTCATCAGACTGATTACTTAAAAGTGCTTTTATTCTAATATTTATTTTTTCTTAAACATCAGAAACTATCAAAGAGCAGGAACGTTCATGATAACGAAATAAGTTTTTGTTAAGGGGGGAAGACAGGATGAAATGAACTTATGTTGAGATTAAAATCTATTGTGTTTACATATACAGAGTTTCATTATTAGAATTCAACTGCTGTATGTATTTTAAGTATCTAATTTAGAAGCAGGAAAGATAAAGTTTATTACTGGATTAAAGAAGCATTCACCATTTCCATCTGCCAGAGTCACTGCAGATGGTCATCACTTTGTTGTAGATGGAATGTTGCAATAAGCAGAGTTTTGCAGGAGCCTGGATTTATGCAGTGGGAAGTCAGATGATCCTGCCTGTCAAAATCCATATTGTTAATGTTCTTTAATGGTGGGTGAGGTTTTTTATGCACTTGAAGAAGATTGAAAAGTATGTCCTAGTGTGTAGGAGACTGTAGAATTTCCTAGTCTGACTGTATGCTGAAGCTGTCTAGTTTCCTCACATCCCTCATGAAGCAAAATCAAGCATGTAATTAATATGAAAAAGAAAACTGTGTTTCTTTGTCTATTTCAGTCTTTTGTCTCTGTGTTTTTGCTTCGTGCAAAGCACACAACGTACTGACCACAATAATTTTTTCTTCATCACTTTGCCTTAGTCTCTGGAAATCCTAATCATAAATGAGGAAATTTTTTTTTCTTGGGTTATACTACCGAATATATGTTCTGTGGATACCATTCAAGCTAAAGAGTACTGACTTTGTTAAGGTGTCTTTATATAGTTGGAGTGAGCCAGTTAGGTTTGGCATAGTTGTATATGTATGGCCGGAGCTGTTCACTTTCATTATATGAAAAAAAACTTGCCTAAAAGGGGGATGCAGTTTCTGTGATCAGCTCCTTAGACATTCCCATCGATTTCTAAAAGGGTGACATGCAGAGTAAAATAGAAATCACCAACTCACAGGGTCTCAAGACAGTTCCTGTATTAATTCCTTCAGAAATACAGGGGAAATCAAACTTGCTACAGTATCATGCCAGAATAGATAAGATAGTGGTCTACTACACTTTGTATAGAAGGTTGCTTCACTTTAAAGCAGTGAACACCAATCAATCTGTTCCTTTTTTTTTTTTTCCAAGACAGTTCAAAACAAACTCATCAGCTTAGCAGTCTAGAAAACACAGGAAGGGCACTTCCTATTAATTTGAATCTCCTATCAGGAAGTCCTATCTCTGGAGAGAATATCTCAAAGTTAGAGTAACAACATATTTTTAGCACTGTAGCTGTTTTACACAATGGTTTAGAAAATGGCAGCTCAGGCTGGTATATATGTTGGTTTGGCCTAAAGAATAGTGCTCCTTTTTTTGTCAAATTCTTTATGTTCTGTGATAGACTTCGGGGCTGCAGTAGAAATGTCTTTCTCTTACTGTACCAAGTTTCTTACCTTTAACTGTTAAAGGTAATTATTAAAATTAAGAGCATTTCAACTCTCAGAATGCTGCTAGAATTTGAAGTGCTGTCATATAAAAAAATTAGTTGTGATCTTTGTGTGGTATACAATGTCCCAACATTTAGGTTGGATTTTTTTAATATGACCAGTGTATCAAGAGGTAAGTCTATGTTCAGCAAGTTAGTTCTTTTGGAGTTGTGTTGGCTTCATAGTTACCAATATAACTAGAGATAGTGAAATGTATTGTCCTATATTGTAATAATCCAGGCTGTTTTGAAAGGTTTATTACCAGAGTGACTATTAGTGTTCAGAATGAGTATCTCAGAAGTGATGGTAGAGCATTAAAACATGAAAGACATTTATTTTTCTTGTTAAGCTTTAGAATATAAGCTCTACTGAGGTTTAACATAATGGATGAGGGTGATCTTCCCTCTTAGGAATTTGTCTGTCATAGGAAATGGTGGCTTATGGAAAGTTTTGAGTTTCCTTTTGGGTAAATGTTATTGTGAAGTTGTGAAGTTTTCAGATGGCTCTGTGTTTCGGAGTAAGAAGTATTGTGTGAAATATGGGAAAGCCTTAGTTTTCTCATAGAAACGTTCACAAGCAATTCTCAGAATTGTCTGTCTTTCACAAATTTTGGGAGTGTACAGTACTAACTCTCGTGCAACCACATGCGCATCTTGTAAAAATTAAAATACAGGTTTGTTTTTTGCTGTTTGTAGTTTTAGAACGTTAACTGTGTATCCATGCTTGTCATTCCTTTCAAATACTTAAATAAGAAGACCATGCATTTTAATCTTTTAAATTCTCACATTCCTAGTGTGGAATGCGGTATAATTCTCATAATGCCTTTAGAAGCCTTTCCTTCAGATAGTATAATATAATATAATTAGTGTGGGTTCTGTGTTTTTCGTGGGGTTTTGTTTGTTTGTTTTGGTTTGGGTTTTGTTTCTGTTGTTCTGGGTTTTTGTTTGGTTTTATTTTCTTGTTTTGGTGTTGTGTGTTGTTGTTTTTTTTTTGGGGGGGGTTGTTTTTCTGGTTGGTGGGTTTTTTGTTTTTTTGTTCTGGAGGGTTTTTTTGTGTTTGGTTTGTTTGGGTTTTTTTTACTATGTCTGGTATTACTGGAGATAGGGAGTATACCTGGGTGGCTTCCCCCCCCAGTCTCTCTTGTCTCTACCAAATCAATTACTACACTAAACAAATAAATCTATTGCTATGCTAAACACTGACTACCACTATTACCCTGTACTGTTTCTTTTCAGACACGTAGGCTCTCTCTAGCAGGCAACATCAGGAAGGTGTCACTCCCCTAGTGATTAACAGGCAGGAAATCTTACTTGAATCCCATGCCCATAATTTCCTGTGGGACTTATTTAATATTCATTACAAGGTAACTAATGTGAGTAACAGTAACAAACAGGCTTCAAGAAAGTTTTTAAAGAGGCTGAAAATGTAAAAGCAAATTTTATTTTAGACCTAGACATTTGCTGTTAAATTTCTAAGAGTGTTTTAAGATGAAGTCGTTTCTGTATTTATGCCTGTTCCTTTGGGGAATGTTTCACAGTGAAAAATAAGCAGATACGGGAAATGCTTTCAAAGTCCAAAACCTTACTGGCATAATCTTCAAGTCCATTTTACCTCGTTAGCTCATTTCTAAGTCAGACAAATCCACTGGAGCAAGCAAATAAAAATACAGGCAGAAAGAAGTAGGATACGGAGTCAGATTAGGTAAATTTTTATGTTGGGTAAAGAGTTGGGGGTGTTAAGTGTTCTATATCTCTTCAGTGAAATTTGATGTATTTGATGTTGAACAACCTGGTTTGAAGGAGAGGGCCTCCTGCAGACACCTCACCTGATACGGAAAGAGTGTGAAGGACTGAATGCAGAGCAGGAGTCTGCAAACACTGGGAGGGTTATTTACTGTCAGATGATGCAGAATGTGTGGGATTTCTGGCAATTTGTGAGGAATATATTTTGGGTGGGGTTTGGTTTTTTTTTTGGTTATTTTTCAGAGCAAGAGTGATGTTCTTGGTATGATGGAATGAAATGCATATAGGTTTGGAGGAGGGGATAATGGAGAATTCCAAATGGTGCCATTTGCATTAACAGTATTACGCAGTCTCAACCCTGGAACAGAGGGCTTAAAGCAGGCTACAAGAAAAATAGATATATACTAATACTGTTAGTATTTAATGTATCATAGTGCTCAGTTACAAGAACATCTGAGAGTACTCAAAACTAAAAGTTACCCAATAAATAGGAGCCTTGCAGGAGAGTTAATGCTTCTAATACCAGAAAGTGCCAGATGCATTATTCTGGCAAGAAACAGATTGCTGCAGAGCCAGCCAATGTGGGACAGTATAGTTCAATTTAAAGTATTGTAGTCCTTCAATAACATGTATTCAGGTAGAGGAACTGAAGATAGCTGTTTCAGGAGCTGTAATGTGAGGTAATACCTGTTCCCCTGATAGCTGTGTCTCCCTTGATGAGGACAATGGTCAGTAAAGCCATGAACAGTTTCCTTCTGAGTGCTTCATAACAAGTCTTTTCTGAGGACTTTTGACAGTCC